CCCTCTTCCTGGGGACACTTCCATCTCTTTTTTATGCTGATCTAACACCTTATCAGGGGTCCCTATATTTTCCTGCCATGATGCTTTTTTGCTCCTGTACTTAGATTAATTGTGCCAATCTGGATTAATGACATAAACGTTCATCCCGGGACAAATGCCCAAGGCAGGCCATGGAAACCGCGGGAGGTAACATTTCAGGTTTCTTGACCACTGCCCTGTCCAGATGGTCAGATGAACCACCCACCCAGGCCAGCTCAGAGCTCGATGGCAGCGCCTGAAGGAAGGAGATGGGAATGGGGAAGGATTTCAAGGCCCTCAGAGGACGCAGGACAAGAGGGGCAAGCGAGAAAGAGCTGAGCTGCAGAAGCAGGAAGGACCAACATCAAACTACTCGCCCAGTGACCCGGCTGACGGATGCATTGCTCAGGAAATGCTTAAGAAAATGAAATTCTTTGATCTCTGTGGGATAGTTTGAATGCAGAACCATATAAATAGAAATCTTTTTACCTTCAGGAATTAATGATTTAAAACTAGAGCTTTATGGATCCAAAAGATGGTACCTAGGCCTTCGCAGGGGGTCAGCCAAGACGGGCTGAGCTTGCTGTGCGCGCCGGCCGCAGACACCCACTGCGCCCACCAGGGGGCAGCCTCGGGCCAGCAGCGGGCGGACCAGGGCCACGCGCTCCAAACTCTGCAGCAAAAAACTCCAAACTGCTCGGATTTCAGAGCAACTGGACCTGCTCGTCTTTTGGTCGGAAACCAGAAAGGCAGAGGGAGAAGAGGAGGAGGAAAGTGCAAACCAGAAGCAGGTGTAGTCCTTGCTCGAACCAGATAATTTCAGCACCCCAGATGACATCAGTTCACTAAGGGGACCCCAGATTTGAGGATCTCATTGAAAACAACTTAGAACACAGTAAGAAAAGGTGGGTGTCTGCAGGAGAGAGATGTGGGGTCCACAGGGTGACTGGAGGGCTCTAGGAGGTGGTAGGAGAGGGCAGCAAGAACCAAGGGGGGTACAGAAAAGCGGGGGGGCGGGGGGAGGTAGCCGCCGAGTTCCCGCAGGTAGCAGCGACCTCCCTGCCCAGCCAGAAGCTGCCTTGACGTGCAGCTGAGCTCGCCCGAAAGCAAGGGCAGCCCGGGCCTGTACTCACTACTTGGCGGAGTCCGACAGCTGGTACTCCCTCCTCCTGTCGTAGCACGCCTGGATCCCCGGGTCCTGCCACAGCTGCTTGATGGCCTCCACCTGGTGCCTGGACAGCGCCGACACCTTGTCCACCTCCACTTCTCTGATGATCTGGGCGTTCTCCTGCTCAGAAGACAACCCTCCGTGAGGCGAAGGAAAGAAGGCCAGCCCCGAGGTGATTTGGGGACACGCCCTGCCCCGGTGCGTGGGTTGGGAGCTCTCACCAGGTGCTGGGGGGGGGGCCTCCCTGAGCCCCTCGGCGCAGCCGGGCAGGTGGAGACAGCCAGAGAGCCCAGGCCTGCGCTTGTCCCCGCAGCGCCCTGGGCCACCTTCACCAGCGTTCACACCCAGGGGTGGACAGAGCAACGGCGACCTGCCACCCTGCCAGCAAGCTCACCTCCTCACGAGCACGCTGCACATCTGAATATCTGCTTAGCCAAGGGAGCAACTGGAAAACAACCATTATTCCCATCGGTGGCGTCCCAAGGGGGGGTGGTGGAAGCAGCTTCACGGGTACAGGCAATAAGGGGCGCACTGTCTTTGGAGAACTGGAAGTCAGTCATACCAACTAATCGTCAATCTTGTTTTCTCTCTTTCTTTCCTTTACTTTATCTTTTAGAGCAGTTTTAGGTTCACAGCAAAACTGCGGGGAAGTGCGGAGAGCTCCCGCACGGTCTGCTTTTCCTTATCATGCGTCATGGCTAAGACTCTTCCGGTTGCACCCCTCCCCGCACCACTGGTTGCTGTATTATTATTATATGTATTGTTTCCATGATTATTAGATAATTATTACCTAATACTATTGCTCTATTATTGCAGTAATTGTCAAGGTCACCATTACTATAATTATTTCTATTACCATTTTTTGGCCACTTATTACGTTCACATTATCTTATTTAATCAATGGAAGGTTAGCACGAGGCCAGAAATCTTTGCAAATATTAGAAAACGAAAATGGTAAGTTTGGCTCGCATCCACTACATTTCTACGCGTCGGCCCCAACGACTCAGCGTCCCGTCCTTGCCTGCGAGTTGCAGCAGACAAGCGAATCCTGCCGGGAGACGCAGCATCCCGAGCCTCTGCCTCCTCTCCCGCCCTCCTGCACCTCACCGCGATTACCTCGTGCGCAGCTGACTATTCACTGGCAGCTGTGAGTCAGCAAAGCATCACTTGGTAGCTGTGAGCTCCACAAGTGCAAATGGTACCCCCTGAAAAGTTGCTTTGATTGTGCATTGCTCATCCTCGTAATCATCCAACAGGAAGCCGGAGAAAAGCAGGATTACAGATTCACTTGGCTCAGGGTGAAACCAAGGGCCGTGATTAAATCGGCATGACTTTGCCCCACAATCATCACAAAAGTGAATATAAACTCTTCCCAGAGACTGTGGGGTCCTCAGGCAGGGAGGGTCTCAAACAAAGTAAAGGCAGGATGGATTAGTGGGAAGTACCCTGGGCCGGGAATCAGGACCCGAGGTCTAAGTAGCGTAGTTAGGACTTTTAGGGACAATTTACCTGCCTCAGTGTCCTCATCTGTAAAATGAGCCAGTGATTTTCAGGGGAACCTGAATTATAAGCTATCAAGTATTACTTAAATGTTTGTAGAATTAGCCTTATTATTGTAGCAGATGCCTAAGAAATATTTCCTGTTTGCAAAAACAGGACACGTGGGTAGTCCTTAAACCACAGCTCCTAATCCCGCCCACTGGCCCACAGAGGAGAGTGAATGGAGACCCTGGACAGTGTCTGTCTGTCTGGAGCAGAAGGGCGTCCCTCCCCGCCTCCCCTCCCCTCGCCACCCTCTCGCCTCCGTTCTCAAGACAGGACATGCCACGAGGAAAGAGCCAACGTCTTAGTCATCCTTTTATCCCAGAACCTAGCGCAGCACCTGGCAGGAGCAGGTGCCTCCATGGATGTGCGCACTCCGTGGAACCGACCCAACAGAGGGGCACAGGAAAACAGCAGAAGAATGCGGGGCAGGTGACAGACACCTGGGCAGCGCTCGGTGGGAGCACAGAGGAGGTCAGGGAAGTGTCGCAGAGGAGGGAATGCTCCGGTGACTTGGCCCATTTGTCTTTCTCATGTCCCCGGTGGCAGGCGGCAGCCTTGCTGGTCGTGGGCAGGCTTCTCACTGCTCTATGAGCTTCAGCTTAACCACCGAGGTCAGCGCTGCGACAGTCATCAGGGATGTCACGAGTCTATTTCTGCCTCTCCTCCTCACCAATGCAAGGCAGGACTGTACTTCATGGTGAATGAAATTTTGTCTTTGGGGGGGAGAAATTTTAAAGAGCCAGTGAGTAATTCGCCCCACTGCCTGTCACTTGCCGTGGCGACATTGGAAGCAGGAGACAAGATGAAGCCTCCATTAGACGGTTCCTCAGTGGCCAACGGGACCAGAGATGCCCTAACATGCCACATGGGCTATGTCGCATGAGTGAGAAACCTGAGTAGGCTGGACTCGGGGGCATTTGTTACTGCAGCATAACCTGCTGCATGTGTCCTAACTGATACATGCTGCGACGGATGAGCCAGCCTCTGGCTCTTCCAGTAGAGGGACAAAAGCTGGTCCCAGTGAGACATCAGGAGGAGCTCAGGCTTCTACCAAGGCCACTGGGGGGTGGGAGCTGGGAGAAGACGCAGACCCGAGCTCTCAGGTAACCGGGGAGCTCAGCCAGGAGAGAAAGGCAGACTGTGTTCAGCGACGTGAGGGGCTTCGGGGGGATCTGCCTTGAGAGGAGAGCAGAGCTCAGGCTCTTTGGAAACCCAACAACAGGACTTGAGTTTGGAACATTCTGCACTCAACGGGCCCAGAAGTAGTCCAAGCTCAGAGGTCTCCCTCCGCCACTGGTCCTCCTGGCTAACTCTCCTACTTGCCAAACAAAATATTTTAACTTCTTATCTTGAAATAATTTAAGACTTGCAAAAAAGTGGGGAAAATGGCACAAAGACTTTATGGCTTTAGGTTGGTTAACATGTTAACCTTTTACTGCTCGGTCTTATCATTCATCCCCTCTCTCTCCCTTGGTGCACGCACACACACACACACGCACACAGACCGACACGCACACGCGTGCACACACGCACACAGACCGATGTGCACACACACACACACGCACACAGACCGACACACACACGCACACACACATGTGCGTGCCGACACACTCGCACACAGACCGACACGCACACGCGTGCACACACTCGCACACAGACCGATGTGCACACACGCACACACACGTGTGCACACACTCGCACACAGACCGACACGCACACACGCGTGTGCACACACACACTCGCACACAGACCGACACACACGTGTGCTTTCTTCCTGAAATATTTGAGAGTAAGTTTGCAGACAAGACGCCTCTTTCTCTCTAAAACCTTCAGTGCGATTTCCTATAAACGGAGACATTCTCTTGCATCATCACAGTATAATGATCAAAATCGGGAAATGAACATTGACACGACGTTATTATCCAATCTTCAGACCTTATCCACAGTTTGCTGATTGTCCCATTAATATCCTTTACCTGGTCTGGAGCCCAACCTAGAGTCACAGGTTGCATTTAGTTGTTAGGTCTCTTTAGTTTCCATTTATCTGGAACATTTCTTCAGTCAGAGAAGTTGCTTTTGTCACTCTGCACAAGAGTGGCCTGACAAGTGTCTGTTCCTTAGTCACGAGTTGTCATAGGGATGGCTGGTGGAGAGACTGTGACAGCCAAGGCTGCAGAGAATGTTCCAGAGGCAAGTGTTAGGAAGGGCAGGGAGGAATGAGGAAGAGAGTGAATTATGACATTTTTTTTTAATAACTTCTTTTTAATTGAAGTATGAGATGAAGGACTTTTGCACACCATTGACGGTGTCTGTGTCACAAGAGTGGAGTCCTGTGCCCACTTTCCTCTGGCGCGGCTGAGCAGTCTCGTGCACGGGCGCTCATTCCACCTGCCTCTAAGAGCAAGGGCCCCTCCTACCACGTGGGGAAGGTTCTGTGTCGTTTCAGACTGGCTTCTTCAGCTTATGGAAAGAGGGGACGAAAAGTCAAAGACGATCAGGTTAGGGGAAATGTCATGGCTTGGGGAGGGGACATGCTGAGTTGGAGGTGGCCAACATCTAAGTGGAGATGTCCAGGGAAAAGATGAAGAAAACCAGTCTGTAGGTCACAGGAGAGTCCCGGGCTAGAGCAGCACATTGAGTTGACATTGCCTAACACCTTTGTTTAATTGAAAAGAAAAAAAAATCAGTCTCAGAGGAGTAAATATTACGGGAGCAAACTCAGATGATGCCAGAACATGATCAAGCTCTCAAAACACTGAACTCATATCTGCCTTTTCCTTTTTATTTTTTCCTCAAACAACATCACCATTTTCACTGCTCAGAAGGAGGAACATGGAAAACAGATGTCCTGCATGAGTGTTTTGCTCAGAAATTCCCAGGCTGACAGTAAAAGGAGCTGCTGATGGACTGGCGCCTTGCCAGGTCTATGCGGGGACCCAGGACAGCCAGTGACAGTCCCCATCAGGCACAGGGAGCCCCTCTGGCTGGGACCCAGGGCCCAGCAGGCAGCCGCATCTCCACCAGATCCTCTTGGTGGGGGGCCCCCTACACCACTAATGCCCCAGGACCTTGGGGCTCAGAGCTTTATCTGCAAGAATGATTTTCCCACAGGACATTCCTTCCCCTGAGATGCTTTGGAAAGCACCTGAGCCCCATCAAGCCCCAGGATAGTGGAACATATTCTGATATAATTTATCAAATAGCATCTGGTAGCCCACTGCTACCCCTGCCAAAAAACGAATAAGTACACGTGGCCTATGGAAGCTGCCTCTCAGAAAATCATTTGTTTGGGTCAGTTTAATTGTACATGTCCAAAGACCATAAGTATGGTCATATTCTATGGCAAGACAGGGTTTTCTGCCTCTGTATCCATCTCGTTCCTTCCCCTCCTCCTCTAGCAGAGAAGAGTTTAGTTTTTCAGCACATAAAAATTGTGTTAAAAGAGACAGTTCATTTTGGAAAGAAGATCTTTGGTGCAGAGTCTGTGCTGGGAGGATGCAGGGTCCATGCCAGGATCCACCCTCGTTCTCCCCAGTGGCCAGGGCTGTGCTGCTGAGATGGCTGGGACTTTGTGGGAAAGGCAGAGGGACCACAAAGGAGAGAGCCCGGAGAGGCAGGGCTGGGAGCTCCCAGACCAAATGGCCCCAAGGGGGAAAGTACTGAATGCTCCGCTCCCACCTGTTGGCCTCCTGTGTATCGTCACGATCTGCTCTAAGGAATCTCGTTCTCTCTGGCGCTGGGTTAGGTGTGTGGCCCTTCCACACAATGAGGCACAACTAAACGCTTGCAGTTAGAAAAAGCACTGGCGAGGCCTCAATTCAAGAACAGCTTGGTTTCAGATACTTTTTTATAAAGTGGGTGGTTGGGAGCTGCTATGGTTTGGATGCGGTTTGTCCACACCAGACCTCATGTTGAAATTTAATGGGGGTAGGGGCTCCTAATCCGGTTCTATCCGGTTTTCCCACCACCTCTGTCCAGGGTCCCAGCACCTCAGGTGGGGGGCGAGGTGGCAGCCGGGCAAGGCAGCCCAGCTTCATGAAGGCTCCGGGCCTGCAAGGACCTGGCACATGCCCTCCACGCCACCAAGCTGCCCAAGAGGAGGATCAGCTCAGCAAAGGGGCTGTGAAAGAAGAGCCCAAGAGCAGCTGGGT